TGTTATGAATCGTCATGTAAATATCTGATATGCAGGATGTATTTTCATTGTTACAAATTGAAGATAATTAAAGCATAGTGATTAATCACAAAAACAATATGTAATTATAGATGTGTTTTCCGATGGTCTTAGGCGACTCCTGTGAAAGGGTCGTTCAACCCCCAAAGGGGTCGCGACCCACAGGTTGAGAACCACTGCACTAAGGAACCGAGGAACCACAATAAAATTGGCGGTGGGGAAATCATTTGCCCTAGTTGAGGTCTGTTTTTTAATGTCAGCTCTGATGCTGGAGAAGAAATGATTCACAAAGTCTTTCATCACTGTGCTTCTAATAGAAACTCTTCCTTGTGCTCTTTGGTGCCAGACCTGGGGTGACAGCTCCTGCCCCCCTCCAGTCCCGGGGTCCCCACCCGAAACTTCTGAAGAGCAGTTGGAGACTTCTGCAATTCACTTTACATCCCAGATAGTCGAACTCTGTGGGTTTTTACAGCGATTAGCTCTCTAATGCTGGCCCCGTTTCCATAGAGACCCTATAAATAGAGAAACGTTGGCGACTTAGGCTCACTGAGGCTCACTGTGACCCAGTCACCCCCCTGAACCCTCACAGCCAAACCTTTGTGGGGGACAGAGGGAGTTTCAGACCCACGGGTGAGGAAGGGACATGCAGTCAGCTGCCAGGTGGGATACGTGAGCTGTAGGTTAGTGTGACTTTGCAAGATGCTTTCAGCTTTTCTGGGAGCTGTTAGGAGCACAGGGACCTGTAGGAATTAGAAGCCACTTCGGCTGCTTTTCATCAGACGGCGGCAGGGACTCTGTACCTCGAAGCATTTTCCTTTTGGCCTCATGCAGCTGTGTTTGCAGATTTTGGAGCGAACTTCCTCTTTGGGGGACCCACACCCAGGGAGGACAACAGATGGAGCCTGGCTGTTCAGAGACCACAGGCGTCTCAGGAAGGATCGAGTCCTCCCTTTCTTCCGGAGAGGATGATGTCACCAAAGAAGATGGGGTCCTTCCTGCCCTTAGAGAGAGTTCCAGGGAAGGAGGCCGCACCCTCCCCTCATTCTCTCCCCAAGCATAGGCAGCTGACGCCGGAAGCTCTCTTTCTGCTCACTTCCAGCCTCTGGGCTGTTTGGGGGTAGATCTTGCTTTTTCTTGTGAGTCAGGAAACCTCTGTTTGTACCCACCCCTGACTCTGAACCATCTCAGCTCTTTTCCTACTACAGGGCTTCATTTGGCCCCCAAAACCGGTGTCTGGCCGCTGGGGAAAAAGCAAAAGTCCGTGTGGAAAAGCAAGTGACATTTAGTAGCTGGAACCTGTTAATCAGAGCAGTTGGTGCCTTCTGCTGCGTTGGTGGCTAAGTTCCCTCCAGCTAGTCACCATGGTTTTCCTCGTTCCCCAAACTTAAGACTGGTTCTGTGGACGTGCTGAGTTGTTATTGTTGTTGTTTTTAACACATGTTATATCAAAACTCCTCCACCGCCTCCTCCCTGGCACCCACGTGCAGAAGCAGCCCGGCCCGCCACCCTGCACCTTGTGAGGAAAAGTCCCTGCGTGTGGAGCTCACCTGCCCCCCACTATCCTTGGACTTTTTCGTTCCTTTCCTTCGCGCCTACCACAGGCTTGAGCAGACTCCTCCACGCTGCTGGGCCAGAGGTCCCGCGTCCCTTCACCTGCCACACAGGTGGGGAGGTGTGACACGAAGCCACAGCGTCGAAGGTCTTGCCCAGGTCCTGCATGTGACACGGGTAGAGTTACCACTCAGTTCGGGGGGCCGTGCGCCTCCTGGCCCAGGCGTTTTTTTTGTTCTGAACCTGCCTTTGCCACTGTCCTGGGAGCAGATAGCCACCGTGTCCGCTCTAGGGTGGGGGTCAGTGTGTGAGCAGGGGAGTCCCTCAGAAGCTGGGGGTTTGTCTATGTGATTTGGATGAGCCACGTAGCGGTGCCGGCCTCAGTGTCTTCCCCGGCGAAATGGAGACACTGCTGCTGTATCTGTCACTCCTCCTTCCTGAGGGTAGGCTGGCATCAGGCTGCAATGACAGCATCAGTTGGACAGCACTTTGAAAAATGCTGTTGTGTAACATTAAAAATAAGCGGACCAAGGATGTTAGGATGCAAGGCCGTGTGGCAGGCAGCGCTGGCTGCTGTCCATGGCACCTCCGCCCATTTCCTGGGGCTGAGTGGGGGCGGGGAGAGGAAATGCCGGGCGCTGGGACCTTTGGAAGGGACTTTTTTTTTTCTTTTGCCTGAGTGGATATGGAAGGTTGGCCTTACTGCGGGAGCAGCCAGGTTAGGAGTGGTGAGGAGAGGAGACAGACCTGGAATAGGATGCTAGCAAGGCAGTTGGTCATATGTGATGTGACCCTTTGGCAGAAGCAGCTGGACAAAGGCCAGAGCCAGCTGGCCCATCCACGGCACTGGAGGGAGGTCTGGTATCGGCCTGGGCATAAGGAGGAAGGCGGTGTCCTGGCTCATGCCTGGTCTGGAGACGGCGAATCTGGCCCTTTCTAGCTCAGGGCCGCCTGTGCTCCCCAGTCCAGGCTGCCTTGGACGCGTTGGTTCTACCCAGACTGGATTCAGGTGGTCCTGCCTCGTCGGCCCGGAGGGATGGTGACTCCCGTGGGAAACCTGGCATTGTGTAGCCTGAACTCGGGGGCAGTCCCAGAGTTACATTCTTGAGAGGGAATGGTGGTAGCTTTAATTTACTCGTCTGAAAATGGAAATGTGACTGCTGTCACTGTTGTGAGTTTCTGGGAAAACCAGGTGAGATGATGCAGGAGGAAGAACACATTGAAACTGCAAAAGGTTAGTTTACAGTGAGTTCTGATGATGTAACCTATCTGGTCAGTAGGATGGGTGGGGCCAGGGCCCCGCCCTCCTGGAGGATTGCGGTGAGACAGGGAGGTGAAAATGAGAATGCTAACCTTTTACACAGCTCTGGGCGTGTGGTCACAGACCGCTGTCTGTGCGGCGGTCTACACAGACAACGCGGGGGATAGAGTCACAGCGAGCGTGGGGCAGCTGACTCAGAGCTACAGGCAGCGTCTTTTGGTTTCCACATGGTCTAAGTTTTCTGCTCTGGAAGTTTTGTTTCTAGAAAAAAAAAAAATCCAGGAAGTGTAATCCTTTGGGATGTTTTTAAAACAACGGAGGCTGCCTCATGCGATGAAGGGCTGCTCCTCCAGATGTGGCTCATGGGGCCCCAAATGGCTGGGTTCAGAGTTCCCGCCCAGGAGTTACAGAATGGGGGTTCTGACCTGGTCCTCCCGGTCCCGGCCCCCCTCCCATTGGCTCTGGAGCTCTGCTGAGGGCTCAGCCAGGCCAGAGAAACCAGCCCCGGACAGAACAGCTGTCTGGGATGACAGCACACGTTGTCTGGCCTGGCCCGGTGGTCCAGCTGCCTCTCTGGGCAGCCCTGCCTGGGAGCAGGTGGGGAATCTCAGCATCAGCAGAGCTGCCAGGGCCGCACTGGGCCCCGGGGCCTCTTGGGATTGTTCCAGTCTCAGGGGAAAGGCTCTCATTTGGACAGCACGTTTTGATACTTATGCTAAAGAAGTGGTCACATTACTGACTACACTAAAGGTATGTCCATAGGAGTTTATTTATTGATTAATAATATTTTTTTATTGATTTTAGAGAAGAAGGGAGAGGGACAGGGAGAGAGAGAGAAACATCAATGATGAGAGAGAATCACAGATCGGCTGCCTCCCGCATGCCCCCCATGAGGGATTGAACCTGCAATCTGGGCATATGCCCTGACCAGGAATCAAACTGTCTTCTCCTGGTTCATAGGTCAACCAACGCTCAACCACTGAGCCACACCGGCTGGACATACTTATTTTTTTACGTTGACCAGTTTGTTATAAGGGACACAGAAGAACAGCCGGAGGAAGAGGTACATAGGGTGAGGTCTGGAGGGGTCCCAAGTGCGGGAGTTTCTGTCCTGAAGGAACTGGGGTGTGTCCCACCCTCCTGGCATGTGGATGTACTCACTGACCTGGAATCTCCAGTGAAGTTTATTTTATTGTCAACAATACCAGGAACGAGAATGGCTCCCAATAACTAGCGTTGTATAGACAAAGCGAGGTTTATTTA